CCAGGTGTGAGCCACCACACCTGGCCAGTTTAACAGTTTTCTTTTTTTTGAGACAGAATCTCACTGTCCACCCTTGGTACAGTGCCGTGGCGTCACAGCTCATAGCAACCTCAAACTCTTGAGTTTAAGTGATTCTCTTGCTTCAGCCTCCGAGATAGTTGGGACTAAAGGCTCCCACCACAATGCCTGGCTATTTTTTCTTTTTTTGTTATTGTTGTCACTGTTGTCTAGCAGGTCTTAGCTCGGTTTGAACCCACCAGCCCCAGCCTGTGTAGCTGGCGCCCTAACCACTGGGCCATGGGCACTGAGCCAGTTTAACAGCTCTCTAAGACGACCGACCATAAAGAATTACCATAAAGAAGTGACATGTAATAAAATATAAATTACTTCAGGAAGGTAACCCAAATGTCTAGTGCCTCCACTCAGTGGAGGTCTTCTATAATTAAACATTAAAACAGCATGCATGCATAATAGTGACTAAGATCTTTGATAATTTCAGAAATATTCATCTGATTTTGCTGGAGGGAAAACATTAAAACCTGTAATATCATTCTTTTTAAGAAGCTAGTTTGGCGTTTGAAGCCTCCATTATGGATCAGGAGAGACAAACACAGATGTCCGTGGGAGCCAGGGAGGAGAGAAAAGATGAAAAACAAGATGGAAGAAGGCCAAGAGCGGCCAAGAGCGCAATCGGACAACAGGACGGCGGATGGTGGGCGCGGATGGTGGGCGGGGTAAGCAGGGAGTGTTTAAAGGGGACGGCCACTACGGGTGAGTGCAGGCTTGAGCTTTCTAGATATTTTATCTTTGAGGAATAGCAGACTTCGTGAAAAACAATTTTTTTTTTAAGGTCTAATGTTGGTAATCAGTTCTTTAAAAATCTAGGGTTGCCAACTGTAAGTGTTGGCAAGTGATTAAAAAGCAAAATGCTATGAATCTTGCAGCTGGTGCCACTTTTACATATGTGAGGAAAGTGTACCATCAAGGAAACGCAAGGCTCTAGTGAAAGGCAGAGAGGCTGGAGCGCATCTGAGCAAGACTGGGAAACCCGGGAAACTGAAGGAGCGAGGAGTCACAAAACTTAGGAAAAGGAAAGGTTTCAAACTACTGTCAATTATCTTTTTGCCAACTCTATTTTCTTTAAGAAATTCCTAACACCCTAGCCCTCTGGATATACAGCTGGTTGAATTAAAATCTGTTCAGCATTGCTTTCTTCTAAAAACTACAAAAAATTGTACCAAAATTTCTCAAAGGTGATTACAAGTAACAATTTTGGATGCACAGTCCAACTGAAGAACACGGCTGAAGTCTGTTTACCATTTTCTTTAATCACTGCAGTCAGAGCAAATGCGCTCATCTTTTAAAAGTAAAGTGACAGATGTCAGATTATTAAATCTTTGCTAAAAGCATCGATAAAAAATTTAAAACAAAAGTGTGTATTCTTTATTCTGATACTTGTACAAATATTTTCTGGGGTTGAGAGGTCAGCAGCACTTTCCCGCTGCGGCTGGCTCGAGCTGTGGCGCGCGCCCTTCCCCGTGTGTATCGCTCTTAGCGTACAGTCATGTGCACAATTCTCCGTTCCCGGGTGATCTGGGGGCACCTACTCCGACTTCTAGACATATGCTTATGTATATATATACACACACAAGTAAAATCCTAAATGTTCTGTACATACAATATATACTATAAAAGATATATTTGGTAATCAGAACTTCTCAATAGCACTTTTAAAAAGATATAAATTAATTTTTACCCTGTTAGCTGAGATCTTCCCACACTGTGGGATCTTTTGCTAAGGAGAGATAGCAAAATTCCAAGTAACGTGGAACCAGTATTTTGTTATTTGTTGCACCTATCACCTACTTCTGTAAATTAATTCCTCCTTTTCCCCTACCCCTGGCAATTAGTGCAGCGGAAACACAGAGAGGAAGAGTATTGTGCTTAAGTTAACCAGTTTGATTCAGCATTGAGGACCAGGTGCGCATATATGCATATAATTGTTAAGTCTCTTCCTAACAAAAGCAATTCAATTTAGATCATTTTATATCAAAAAAACCACAGATAAAATCACATGTGTATACCATATGGATGTTTCTAAAGTAGTATTATCCATGAAATGAGTTAAATTACTTTTTCCATTTTAAATAAAAGTGCTGAAGAATTTGCAACCATGTTAAAAAACTGTTTAGAAAATCCATGAGTCCAAGAAGTTTGAGAGTAATTTTTACTAAATAATGTATTATAACTTGGCAGTATGCTTAATTCTACCAAAAATCACTTGTTGGAAAGCCCTAACAGCTAGTGCTTAGCCGAGAATAAAGAGAGACATCTCATTCCAAGCCAAACAATCAAAGGAGCCTCCACCACAACCCACAGAAACTTTAGACTGTCACTTAAGATATAAAGTGTTAAGAGTTTGTTATCAAAAAGAGATTGATTCCTGATTTGGTAATGAGCAATTTCACTTAAGCCTAGTCCTTTGCTTTTGGTACACTAGAAAATTCAAATCCTTTGTATTTACCTAGTACTTATTTAGAAATGGTAAGCAGCTATTTCCTGTGTGTACATAGACACACACCTTGGTTTTCCAGACAGGGACCTGTACTGACCCCTCTTGTAGCTCCTACCTCAGGCTGCCGCACAGGAGCGTTACACGAATACCTGCTCTCTGTTAAGGTTTTCCTGACATTTCACTTAAAGTATTAAAAAAAGGGTTCGGCACCTGTAGCTCAGTGGCTAGGGCACCAGCCACATACACCAGAGCTGGTGGGTTCGAACCCAGCCTGGGGCTGCCAAACTACAACCCCCCAAAAACACTAATAATAATAGTGGGGTGTTGTGGCAGGCGTCTGTGGTCCCAGCTACTTGGGAGGCTGAGGCAAGAGAATCGCATAAGCCCACGAGTTGAAGGTTGCTGTGAGCTGTGACACCACAGCACCCTATCAAGGGCGACAAAATGAGATCATCTCAAAACAAAAAACAAAAAAAAATTTTTAAAAAGGCTTAACTAAGTACATCAACTTCATCAACTTTGAGACTGAAAGCTTAAATGTTTCAATTATTTTGTCAAATAATAGTATAAAACAATCAACTGACTCCAGAATTTTACCATTCAAGGTGATTTGGCATGCCTTGATTACATGTTTAATACTACTGTAACCTGCATAAAAGTAGGGTTTGTAATCTTATTTCCGCCTTTTAAAACTGTCTTTTACAATTTTTCCAACATAAAAGGTTACAATGTTACATAATTATACATAAAGTACCCTTAACTCTGAATGAGATGAGACTGTATTCACAGGCTTCAGAGAATAAATGACATACAACTAAAACTTAGGTGCCATGGTTCCACGATGACGTGCTTATTAGCAACTCCAAAAAACCTTTGAATTGTCAGAGATGAGAGCCCTGAGACTGTCTCTGCAGTGGGAACACCATGGCGTTCTCCCACCCAGGTGCAGTGGCTCACATCTGTAGTCCTGAGCGCTCTGGCAGGCTGAGGCAACGGATTGCTTGAGGTCAGGAGTTTGAGACCTGGCTGAGAAAGGACTGGTCTCTGCTAAAAACAGGGGGAAAAAAAAATCAGCCAGGGAGCACCTACAGGTACTGTTACTCAGGAGGCTGAAGCAGGAAGACTGATTAAGCCCACGAATGTGAGCTTGCAGTTGAGCTACGATGACGACACTGCACTCTAGCCGGGGCAACAGAGAGTCTGTCTCCCAATAAAAAGAGAGAAAAAAAATATACATATGTATGTTTATCTACCAATGATAGTAGAGTATTACTACCAGTGTATTATTAGTACTACTGCCTCTCCCATCAGAGAATGCCTGTACTTGTCTACATGATCCCAGCAGCTGAGATCTCACTTATTGTCAAGTCAGCAGTTATCACTCTTCTATGTATTTTACGTATGTGTACATAGATATATATACACACACACACACACGAAATGTGGGGACAGTTTGTGTTCTATTACATGTAACTCCTAACAGCCTCAAATTTTTGAACTCCAAATAAATAAAGTGTAATCTACAAAGATAAAATATTATTTACAAATGCAAATATTTGACCTGAGAACTTTAGAACTATTTCACAGAACAGGCAATTATTAATCTGTGAAACAGAAATGCACCAAGAGTTAAACTAAAGAATTCACTCTTAGAGATCAACATACCCAGGATGCCTCCAAGAGAAGCATAAGGATATTTAAGAAATCTTAAACTGATCTGCCGTCAAGAAATTAATCATTTGTAACTTCAAACTTCCAGTGTTCATCCCCCTTAAAACTTCTTGTTTAACATATTAGTCTTACTGTATTTTGGAAGTGGGTGAGAGTGAAAAAATACCTGAAGAGAACTCAGTAATGTGCTGAGGAGGATTCCACAGGGAGCAGGGCGGGGCTGCGTCACTGTTGCTACCATTTGCTCTGGACGCCACCAGGGGTACAGCCCATCAGCTTGGGGCTCTACACTGAGCGCCCCTAATAGGAGCAGCTGGCTAAACAAGTTCAGTGCTTACGAAGGAAAAAGTCAAAGTGAAACAAAAATCTAAATAAAGGCAAAATATCATCAGATTCTTTGCTTTACAATGTGACCACAACATTACCTATTTACAGAAATTAAAAGAAATGGTTCAACAAAGAATCAAACTGGTTTCTCTGGGTATGTATCATTACAATGAATCTCTTTACTCTTTCTTTATGCTGTGAGCAGACAGTGATTATTTTGGAGAAGGAAAAATAAAGTGTGGAATTAGTAACGCAGATGCTGACAGGCAAGTGGCAAGACGAGAGAGAACCCCTCAGATAAGTGCTGCTTTGTTCCTGTCTCTGCTGCTCTCACCCTCCCCAGTGAAAGACCAGAATAACCAAAGCCACTTGAACAGGAGTGTGCGGAACTGTCAGCTGACAGACAACATAAACACAAGTCACGCTAGGTTATTTATCTGTGGTCACGTTCTTCAGGGTTAGTCCAGTAACTCAAGACTTTACATTCTTTTGTCTTTATTTATTTTAATTAAACACGTAAAGGTTAATAAACAGACATAGTCCAGAGTTAGTAGGTTGGTATTATAACATTTATTAAAATAATGCTATGGGTTAATAGAAACAGCAAAGAACCAAAGAATTAAATGCAAGCTATGTAAAATCCCAACTAAAACCCAAAAGTGTCTAATGTATTCATTCATCAGCTAACTAAAGCCCAAAAAAGACAAGACACCCAATATAATAAAGTACTGCAAAACAATTGGCAATTTTCAGTTATCAAAATTGTGGATTTTGCATTTTGTATCCTTTTCTCAATCAAGAAAAAAATTCTTTTTGAATGTTATATAACATACATATAAAACAAGATAGAAAAATACATTATAAACTTGTAACAATGGCTGTAAATACATTATCTTACATGTTTCTCATAGGCAATAGGTTGGTTATGGTACATACACAGCATGAAACTACTAAGATAATAAAGAATAGACAAAAATACATGTCAGCTGTACGGTAACATACAAGCGACACTCCCACCTACCCACGCTAAAAAATTACATAATACTGTCAGAAAAAAAATCTTAAAAACTACGTATTTTAATAAGAAATAAATTCAATAAAGAATGATAATACTGAGAACCAAGGCATTCAGAGATTTCAAAAGTCATGCTTTTTTTTTTCAGTTGATCCAAAATTTTGTCAACTAAGTTTTCAAAAGTTTGTTCAGAGCCAACATTACTTGTAAATGTCATACATTTATTATTTTATACATTTACTTTCTTCCCCATAAAAGACCTTTGATAAACATCTAAAATGTCCAGGTATAACATAGTTGAGATGAAACTGGATCAAATACTGGTATTGTTTTTAACAACTATCACCTCAAGTGTTTGAGTGTCGCAAATTTATTCAACCAACCAAACAATATAAAAATCAAAATGGCACAGCATATATTGTAAATAAATCAAAACAACTGTATGTGTAACAGAAAGACAAAGCAGTGGCACGTTAAACCAAAGCTAGCTGAATATAAAACAATGAATGTCTATTGCATAGTAAATAAACTGAAAACGTTTCCAAGTGAGACAAGATGGTGGAGAGGTGACCAAGAAGGTGCTGGCTGAGCTCCCTGCTGGCCTCTGACTGTGATGCTGGGAAGGTGTGGAAGAGGGGACGAGTTGATAAGAGGGGGATCCACTGTCACTTGAGATTTGCCAAGTCTGGTACTGAGCAGTAAATCATTATTTACTCAAGTGTTTAGATGTAGGCTTTGTGCACAAATTGCTTCAACTACAAAACTGTTTGAACTTCAAGAGGAATTAGAAGCTTAAGCTGAAACGTAGTTGAGTTTTTACATGCACAATGATGCTAGTTTTTCACATTCTTTTACAGTGTAAAGGCAGGGTTTGTATTCAGGGGGAGGGAAGGTTACTGAAACCAGGAGAGATATACTACATCTCTGGTATGATACCAACAAGTCTGATTAAATTTGGGTCATTTAAAAAGTGTTTTCCAGAATGAAAATCACAAAGATTCACTTTTGTGAACAAGTTTGCTAGGTATCCTATTAACTCCAATTAAAAAAAATCTAATGCATCCCCCATCTCCAAATAAAATAAAGCTCTAACTTTATCTATAAACTGATATTCAGATCACACATAATTTTAATCTCAGAATTCTCTGGGGGCTAACACTGAAGACTGCAATAACCAAAAGTACTCAATTATGAATTTTAAAAGAATGATGTTTTAAAACTTACTATTCAAGACATTAGAAAAGTTATCAAATTTTTTCACAGTATCAGATTTGGCAAATTTGCATCAAGGTAACGTGGCAAAAAATTATATAATTCAAATCATCAACTCATCTGTCTCCCTCGTCTCTTCTTGCACATACTGGGCAACTGAGTGACATGCACTGACTTGTACTCTGAGGGAGGAGCTGATCTTACCAGACACTCGACTAAATGACCATGAAGGAAAATAAGGCACTTTCTTTTCTTTAGACTTATTCCAATACTTAAAAAATAAAAAAGAAAGACAAAAAGGCTCTTTTGGTCTTTTGTTTCTTGACAACCACCAGAAAAAATCATTTCATGAAATAAAGGGTTTCTTTGTTCTTTTTCTTTTTTTTTTAATAACACTTGAAAGTATAAAATGCTACATTTCCAAAAATATATATATTTTTTTCTGCACCAGCACCCTTGTATAGTAAAAGTATCTACTTTTGTTCATTTGTTTCAATGCACTACACTTTATCTACAATTTCATTACATGTATACAGCAAATAGGCAAGCATGGCTTTTACATCCTTAATGATTTTTCTATACAGGGAGGTTTAAAAAAAATACTTGAACAGTTTGCCCAGTAATGTGACACATAATGCATGTACCTTGTTCTCATATATATTTTTTTAAGAAGGCGGAAAATAAAGGTTCAGTAATTTTAACTCAGATAGTTATCTTTTTAAAAATAGTGTTGCAGTTTTTTGTTCTTTGCATTACTTTTCAAAAGTCCTTGTTAAGTTTTTCTCTCATGGCACACTTGCTTCTAATACTTCAAATTTTGGCAGGCAATATAAAAAAAGGCTGCAACTTCTGCCCTTTGAGGGCACTGTAGTGACTAAACAGCATATCAAATTTTGAATACTTTTTGAAATCACTTCACCTATGACATCCCTGACCGAAGGTTCATGCATGATGCATCATCACACAGTACATTCAGAGAGAGCTTTGACTTTGCTATGAGAAGAGGATTCCTACAAGTCTCTCACAGTAACTGCCTCTGTCATTGAGTAGTTAAGGGCCATCTGTCTCTCCTTCTTAAGAGAGGCCTTCTTACCGTTCGCTTAGGGTGGGACATTAAAAGATGATCAGTGCTGTGGGATGAATTGGGCCTTATTGCTTTACTACTATTCAGTGCAGGTTCTAGAACCACTTTCACCCAAACAGGGGGGAGGAAAAAAGCTGAGTTGGAGGACAACAATTTCTTTGTCTTTTGTTTGGTTAGATGGTAAGACGAACGGACAAGTGCCTCAGCTCGCTGCGCTGACGACAGGCAAGCAAAGGCGATTACCAGTTAACTGATCAGCAGGCAGGCATGGTCAGGTCATCATTGGGTGAAGAGTTCAGAGGTCAGAAGGTCATAGGTTAGTTGCCGGTGGCGGCTGGGTGGTTAGAAACAAAAAACAAAACAAAAAAAAAAGAAAAGAAAAGATAGAGAAGAGATTAGTTTCAGCTAGTGACGGCTTAATGACAACATGAAAAACTAATCACAACTAATAAAAAAAAAAGCATGTTTAATTCTGACAAACTGATCGACACCATCTACAGAATACAATAAAAATCATGACAATTTCATATCATGATTTGAACAAATGAAGAGGAGCCCACTCCCACAAAAAAAATTAAAAAAAAAAACTGGTTAACAGGAAAAAATAGAAATAAAATACAACTAACAACTAATAGTTAGTAGCAGTCAATGAAGGAAATTGAAAAACAACAATGAATAGGTTTGATATACAGGATTCTGGAACAGTCAGCACAGTATCAGTCTCTGACTGCTATTAAGCATTAGTATACTCTTGGATGCAAGCATTAGAGCAACTATTAATGATGGATGTGATTATTAATAACTGATGATTAACAGAAATGAATCTAAAGAAATTTAAATTTCTATAACCAATTTGGTTCAACATAAACTCTGGGCCAAACAGTTTCTTTTGTTCAATAAATGTTTATTGCTTTTTCAATTATTCTATGTACAAACAACATGGAATTTCTTGGCCTCATGATACAAAGCAATACTAAACTGCAGTCTATCAGTGTAGGCAACATCATGGGAACCAGAAAAAGGCCAGGGTTTGGACTAGCCACCACTTTCCAGTTGAAAATACTATTTTACACATATAGAACACTTATAAAATGCACTTGCATGTAAACACTGTAAAATCCTGCCATTTAAAATTCTATACTCAAAAAGCTCTAAGTACATCAAAAAATAGAAGAAATTTCTAATTGATACCAATAAGGCATTTTAAAACTACAAACAGCTTTCTTTATTCAATTTCAAAGCTAATACTCTGCAAATACAATAAAATCTGACATTTCATATACATTCCTGCTTTATATTTTTATATTTTAAAGAAGCCACCTGTAAATACTATTTTCTTTTGCAAAATAATAAAAAGAACAAAAAATTTTAAAAAATTACAGTAAAACATAAAGTAGTTCTCAAGTGGAAAAGTTATCATTCCCCATGTCCTTGAGTAGTTCCTTCCTTAATCAACCTGGCACATTCCTCCTTCACCAAACTTGGTCCACTTAACAGTAGTATGATTTTAAGACTTATTCAACAGCTTAATTATTTCTACTATATTCTGAGGTTTGGTACAATTTTCTGTACTGTTGCCATGTGACTAAGGCAGAGGAAATGTGAGTAAAAAGGATACTCAGTGCAAAGTTAGATTCTGTGCCACTTCATAAATCAAAACAGCAGGTGTCATGTTCACAGAGTTTAAGTGATCTATATAATGGACTGATTTACCTTCATATGACAAAAATGCTTTCTAAAGTCTATTATTTAGAACAGCTTATAAATACTACAAAAATATTTTATCTTCAATGTGACCAAATCTTCCCTGAATTTCTTAAAGAGTGGAATTTTATTTAAAACAACTGTTGCTCCAAAATCAAAGAAAATAAATATTTAACATGATGTAGTCATACTATCACAAGTATTCCAAAATACAATCTTAAAGCCCTTTTTGATATTACTTAAAATTTTCATTAAAATTGTTTAAGTTTCTTAATACAAATTATATAAGTGATGGTTCTGTAAAATCATTAACTCAGAAAAATTTCTGATTATGTTTTTTAGAGTGTGGAATATATAAGCAAACCAAACTACCATTTATATATATAAACCAGTGCACCTAGAATCCATCCTCTGCTAAGTCCTGGCCACCTACAGTACACACAGGTATGTTGATCGTGCAAAACCATTTATACTTCATTATAACTAAAGAGTCAGTGGTCTTTTATAGGCTTCAAATTCAGTTTTAAAATACGTATAAAGGTGGGTATGTTTTTAGTAAAGAACTAAGTATCAGTCAACCATGTAGTACTCTAATTGCTCATATAGAATTACATGGTTATATGTCCAAGGGCTGAGTTTCCTTGCATTAAATGAATGCTTATAATAATCTTCTTTCGAAAAGTATTTTTAAAAATAATTTTTAAAAACCTCAAAAGTAGAGAAAACAGTAGTATCATAAAATAATTTAAGTTTGAAGGACTTCAGACATCTCCCTTAGACCCGATGAGTACATACAGTGATAATAAGAATACAAGTATTCTGTTACTTAAAAAAAAAAAATTAGCATTTCGGTTTGCTGACATTGCATTCTGACTAGAAACAGTGACAGGACTAATCAAAACACATAACTACAAGAGCCATGCATGGAATGTGTTGTAATTTTCCAAATACAATAAAATATTCCTTTAATATTTTCAAATATCTCAAGGAAGTGCAGTATTACACAAGCCAATTATTGTGTTAAAACAAAACTGTGAGAAATCTCCTAAAATGGGACAGATAGGGAAAGATTAACAGGAAAAAAACTAGTGTAACTTCTTTAAATACTCTTTAGAATTATTTTAGATATTAGCAATATAAATAAAGCTTCAAATTATTCAAAAAGTTATCCAGTTTCTTTAAAACTAAAGTGACTTTTAAAAAAATGTCCCCATCCCTAGACAACATGGTCTGACTCCAGAGAAGTGGCCTACATGCTCATACAAACCACAAGAAGTATTATCTCCATGGACAGTCACTGAGCTGGGGGTCTACTGTGTTCATTGAAAAATCACCACAAGTAATGTGTACTAGTTTAGAAGTCTTCAAGACTCTTTAGGTATGATACTAAATAAATATCAATAATGTCTTTGGGAAGACATTTTATTTCTGATGTGGGGAACAGTTGTAGTCTATCCAAGGAAACTATAAGGGCTTTCATATGATTGGAGTATAAATTCATCACTTTTTCCCCACTAATATTAATGGCTTCATCAATTTAATTAGTAGGTAATATGCCATTATAGAAACTTACGAAAGATCCTTTTCTACCATGCTTGAGATTCCCACACCTTGTTATAAAAAACTGAGAAAAGAATTCAATGTCAATAAACCGAAAATATCACTCCTCAATAAGCATAAATAATTTATGAAAGGGTCCAAGGGCATATACAGGACACAAATTACAAATGTTGTAAAGGAGAAAAATGAAGACTTATTTTCCAGTCACAGGTTAGTCAAAAAGGATATTCAAACAGCTGGATCTCTTATCACCACAGAACTGAAGAGACAGTTTAACCTTCAGAGGATATATTTTAGCAGCAAATGACAAAAATCAAAGGATCCATTTTGGCAAGAGAATGTAAGAATAAAAGGGAATTGAGACTTTCTAATGTATAAAAAAAAATTCAACTACATGAAAGTTACCTTCACAGTCCTTCCTGTTTATTTCAACTAAGTGCTAAACATGTACACCCTTAAGTTTACACAGTGGCTCAAATATTTTGCTTAAAAAAAAAAAAAAAAAAAAAGGAAACTAAATCTTCAGTTTTCTCCAAAAGTATACAGGAGGCATATATTCCTTTACTTCTCTCTTTAAAGCACCATCTGTTCAATTCATTTTGCAATACCAACCCCAAATTTCAGAACAATTTAAAAGGTAAATTTTAGCAAAAGTTATTATTGAAAAGTAATTATGGCAACATCAAAATTTAATAGCTTTCCAAATCGACTAATTCATGTTTAGTAGGAATAAATCATAGTATTATAATAGAAGATTTAATAAGTTAAAATATAAAGGGAGAAAAAAACAAAACAAAAAACCCAACCCTTAAATCTGTCAATTATTACAAACGAATTTAGAAAAGGAAAAGAAATTCTGCAGGTAAGCAGTTACATTTTTCCATCAGGTGTGGTGTTGCAAATCTTACAAACACCCAACACATTTCTTATAAACAAGAACTGCAGAACTAAACTAACCTCGGTCTGCGGTCACAATCCTTTGGTAAGGATGGACACGCATATCGTGCCTTCGAACTTTAGTAGCCACCGCACCTAGTTAAATTGTAATTACCAAGACAAAGTTAGAAAACATTCACAAGGGGAAAAAAAAACATTAACAGCAGGTTTATCAAGATGGATTTCAACTGTTCATTTACTACAAAAGTTTAAGAAACATGTTAAGGCACAGTAGTTTTAAAATTAACCATCATGTCACGTATATATGTGTCTATTAATATTGCATTCATTTCAAACGGCTTGGCCTTAACCTATTTCAGCCATTCATTTACAAGCCCCAAGTTACAGTATTTCATGAACTCTATTAGATCCAAACATATTTAAGCTTTACTAGTCACATATTCACTGAAGTGCCTTTTCTTGCAGGACTACTTAAATAATGCCATGTTTAATACTGACAATTATTTGCTAACCTTAAGACCACTTTCAGAGTTTATCACTTAAAAAGGTTTAAAAGCAATTCTTAAAGCCTACAGATTGTGGTTTTAAACTTTGAGTCAATAAGTATGAACTGCAATGAATTAGGTGATTAGTAAAGCAAACAGTATAGTACACTTAGCAGTCAGTATACTACTATACACTCCTTTATAAATTACCATTACTTTGTAATATTACAGACTAAACCAAATTAATAACATAACTTTATAACTATGTGCAAAAAGTGCAAGTAAGTCACTGACTGCTAGGCTAAGCTTTTTTTCCCCCGGAGGCTGCTGAGACTAAGCATTTGTTAAATTCAGATCTGATGAGGGTTCAGTTAAGACCGTTCTTGAATTCTTAGCCTTTCGTTGGGAAAGCCATACCTAAAGATAAAAGGAAGGGAATTAAAAATTAGTCATCAATGAAGATTTGATGCTAATACCAATCTCCTCACTACTACCAACACACATGTCTGCATCTGTTTTGAAGGGCACTGCTTATATTAAAATAATTTCATGTGAGACTTGATATATAGCATGCATGTTATCTGTGTGCAAATTTATTACAACTTTGCAATTTAAAATAATTTTCTCAGTTTTCTAAGTGGTCAATATCATATTTTATTGCTTAGGTGCTAAAGCAAGAAATTAGATTATGAAATTTTTTCCATTTAGTACTCATTACTATTCACCTTATGAATGCCAATTAGGGATCAGTATATTTTGCTCTTTGTCAGTCTAATAATTGAGTTTTTATAATAAAAACTTCCCAACAAAACAAAAAACATGTTGCTTTACAATGAGAAACGGATTTTACTGCAGTGCCTCTTGCTGTTTCTAAGCAGTAAACTGGTCCATCACCCCTTATTCATTTTAGATAAGCTAATCATATCCAAGTATAATTCCATGTGGCAAAATCAGGGAGATCTTGCGCTGAAAGTGCTGAAACAGCAGCTGGTGGCTAAGAGTTCCAGCCCTGCAAGAAGTCAAGACTCAAAACTCCTCGGGAACAGATGCTGTGGGTGCAGCAGAGAGGAGTTCTGGGGGAAGGAGCATGCACAGGACCATAGGACAGAGTATTAATAGAAAGGAAAACTTAAACAAGGTTATAGGTTACATGTTATTTTAAAAATGCTTCAAGAAAATGTGCAACAGAAACAAGCCTCTCATAAACAGACCTGTGGTATAATTCTGACCTGTAATTACCTTATACACAATGATTTAGAGATAAACGGAAAACATGTACAATAAAATGTATTTGTTGATAAAACAAAAGGCACCTGAGTGCATGCACACACACAGATAACATACAGAGCATTGTCACTTTAACTGAACAATGAACTTGTGAGTTTAAATCTTAGTGTTCCAGTTCATTAAAGACTTTTAAATTTTTATAAACCAGTATTAATGCCGGGAAAAAACCCTTAAAAGATAAAAGTCTTAAAAGTCAACAGCATGCATGCAGCACCAAGGTCATATACAATTCAGGGGAAAAAAAGTATTCAAATTCTGTCTGGCAAAACAAAGGGGTTGCACAGAAAGTTTGTTCCACATTGACTGGTCGTGTTATAACAGCTGCTGTATTCTAGTCCTTCATCCAGCAAGTCAATGGGCTGAAATATCAGGCATGACTGGCATTTCAATCCACTCTATAAAAAAAAGGCATCAGTAATGTCTTTTGCAAGCATACCACTTTTTGTTCATGTAAAAACCAAGCGATTATAGTATGATTTTAATTTTTGCCTCAAGGGATTTTCAATTCAGTGACTTGGTATTTATTCATCTATTCCATACCGTACTACTGAAATTAAGAATATTTCTCATGTTTAATATTGACTAGGACTTCAAAAGACAAAAACTGAAACCTTAAGACTGCAACTACGGTCATGTGCCAAATAACATTCAGGCCAACAATGGGCTGGCTGCACATACAATGGTGGTCCCACAAGATTATTACGGCTATACCATACAGTGTCCTCAAACTACGGCCCGCGGGCCACATGCAGCCCACCTAGGACATTTATCTGGCCCGCCAGGTGTTTTTGCAGCCGCTGCCTGTCCTGCTTAGCAGCCGACTCGTCCTGGGGCCCACAGTCCGGCCCTCCAACGGTGTGAGGGACAGTGAACTGGCCCCCTGTTTAAACAGTTTGAGGACCCCTGCCATACAGCCTTGGTGTGCAGTAGATGACATTATCTATGTTTCTGTAGATGTTGTTTACAAAATGACATCACCTACTGATGCAATTCTTAGACTGCATCCCTGTTGTTAAGCAACGCATGACTGTATTTATCTGGTTCTTTTCATATTTTAAGTGATCACAAATATTAAAAACACATTTTACAAAGATTGCAAAATACATTCACATAGAAATTTAAAATTTAGCCAACAATTAAGTAAGTTTGTGAGACAAGAGAAATATAACTCTGGGAGGTGGAGCTGATGGAGTTGATAGGCTACGGGTGAAACCTAAAACCTCAAAGAGTGACCTCAAGTTTATGAAGTATTTTGTTTAAAATGTACATAACAAATTTACCCAACCAAAGTGGATTAGAGCTATCAAAGTGGATCTTAACAAATTTAAGGTATCATTATTTAAACATAATTTAGTATATGCATATTATGTAAAGGGGCCCTCACAAGAGGCTGAAATATAAAGTTTCTGTCTTTCCTAAACAAAACAGGTCTTCCCTCTCTAAAACTAATAAAATCATTTCCAAGACTGGGGCAGCAACATTTATAAAGAAGAATAACTTTAACCACATAGTGAGAAGAACTTACCTAATACACCACTAGGTTCAATAGGATACTCAAGGATTGACGTAGCTGGTGCCAATGTGTAGGGGTATTCATAAGGTGTGTAGATTAAACCAGCTTCGGGGCCTGGAGGAACTATTGCAGCAGTTGGGTGAGGAGTTCCGTTTGGCATGACAGCGGTCTGTATTTGTCTGATCAAAGGCATTATGGTAGGGCCAGCTGGCGTAGGAGTACGCAGAGCAGCTGGTGGGAGAACAGGCGCAGGCCCAGTAATGATCCTTGGAGCAGCCTGGGCTGTTGCTGCAAGAGAAAAGGCAAGGGCTGCTACAGTAAGCAAAGAAATTTAGAAAGAGGTACAGAGACAGCAGTATAAAATATGGGAAAATGAGAAGGGAGTAGGAAAAAGAATGGAAAAAGCAGGAAAGAAGAAAAATAAAAGGAAATCATTAGTACATGCGCTAATCACACGAAAATGCCAAAGCACACCAATCAAATGCAAACAGCTTTCCCTCTCCCAATGTGATTAAAACTGTGCAAAAATTAAAAAGCCACTGTAAAAAAAAACGAGACCATTAAATAGGTTATATTTAGCTCGTATATTTGATATATCTGTTTTTAAGATTTTGTAAGACTAAAGGTACATGCAAAAGCACAAGAAAACATTTGCATTAAAAGACGTTAAAAATAATTTTTAATTGGAGTCCACAGAAACACAGTTTTGGTATATTTCTCAAGAGTAGCTTTAGTTTCAAATTAAAGAAAGAATAATTTTCATTGTATTTAGTCGAGTAACTGTTAAGGGGTGTGTGTGTGTGTATGTGTGTGTAACATATATACAAATTAATACAAATTATCTGCATCTTTAGAAGTTAACCTCATAAAAAAATATAATTAGTCCTATTTCTAAATTCCTAACTAGTATTAATGATATATTCACATTCTCATGAGTAAATTAAAGTAAACCCTTTGCAAAGTAACTACTTCTAAATCCACTGGGTTGTCTACCTTGTGGAAAGTTGGCTAGGACTTTAAAATTCTATTTCTTTCAAAAAATTAGTTAATTGAAATATAATATATGGTCATAGAAATGACATGTATAAATCTTAGATGTCTCAAAATGTAGATTTCACATTATTTTATTTTAAATATAAAAAAGGAATATTTTTATGGCTTATACAAACATGTACATACACATACAAAGAAAAAAACAGAACTTAAAAACAGTTATCACCCACTGATCTCTGTGAACTCACATATGAAATCAACAGGGAAATACCATCCAAGGGAAAACATGCAAGCAAAGTAAAAGGACAGGATTCAACAAGGGTCATTTCATTGGGATATGCTTCAAATTTGCATTTTGAAATAAGCTTTCAAAATTTTGTTTCTTGCTTTTAGGTGGAAGCCTTAAATCTCTAGTTAACCAAATAGGAAATTTCTTAAAACTTAAATTGAGAAATTGAAATTGCATTAAAAGAATAAAAGTTTACAAATCCCCAAACTTAGACATACTGGCATAAAATAAAATCAAGACTGTCCTCAATTCATGAAAGCATTATAAACAGAACTGTCCCACATCTAGTTACACAATTACTTCAACTCTTTATATACTCTATTTAAAGGTTTCTCATGTTACACTGCTAAAAGGAGAAAGGTTCATGGTAGATAAAATAGCTGAGACAGCAGTAACCCTGAGCCTCAGTCTCTTACGTGATTTAATGTTGGCATCTCTGTAGGTGCCATTCAGAATTGCAAGCTCCATCAGCTGCATCTTCTTCAGGCTGTCTTCTCCTTCTGCCTACACGTGGGAAACACAGAAGCATTTGAGATCGTCCATATATATCATAGGTGTATCTACACACAAGCCTTAAAATAGGTATAACCACATGTTTCAATAGAGAGAAAAAAAATCAGGAACCAAAAGGTGGTGACATAAGGAGCCCATTCTCTTTGTGATGGCATGCTGATACACAGGATATTCTTTTTTTTTTTTGGCTGGGGCTGGGTTTGAACCGCCACCTCCAGCATATGGGGCCGGCGTCCTACTCCTTGAGCTACAGGCGCCGCCCTACACAGGATATTCTTAACAGCTACTGGCTACATTTCTATTTGATAATTTTTATATAAACTACATTGATTTATTGAAGTTCTCCTGAAAAGTGCTGCTTTTAAATGGAAATAGACAGAAATGTTAAGATTAAATATAGTGTATTTTCTTTAGTATCTATCATTTTGCTAAATATTTCAAAACTCAGATGTGTTCATTAAAAAAAAAAAAACAATGTGACTTTAAACATACTAGGATTTTATTGTGGTATTCACCTAAGGGAATTTTATTTTATTTTACTTTATTTTTGATACAGAGTCTCACTTTGTTGCCCCAGCTTCCCAAGTAGCTGGGACTACACCTTTGTGCCACAATGCCTGGCTAATTTTTGTATCTGGTCTCAAAGGTCTCTTTTGAGCTCAAGGAGTCATCTCACCTCAACCTCCCAGAGTGCTAGGGTGTCAGCCACCACACCGAACCAGGAATTTTATACTTAATTCTCCATAAAGGAAAAATTAGTGAAGTTATAAAAATCCTAAGAATTTCTAATGACTGTACGTTCTGCTCACTTGTGACACCGTTCCTTTCCTCCCACAACCTAATTAATTACCAAGTGTTATCAAATCTATGTCAATCTATCTTAAAGATCACCGTATGATTTACTGGCTAAACCAGGTAACATTTAAGAGCAAAAGGGGGGCAAGTGTGCTACAACAACAGGCACAAACCAAGACCAGCTCTGACTGTCAAAAGGGCAGGCCACCCAGTTTACTTTAGCTTTATCCCACTCTTTCCATTTACTATAGCCGCCCTTGCTCTACTCATTATTGATATACTACCAAAACTACAACAATAAGCTGCTGCTAAGGATGTCTGTCCTACAATCAATCCATACACAAAGGCCAGATTCATTGCCTCACACTCAATTCTCATCATAATGTTCCTCAACATTCTCATGTCTCAAACACTTTAGAGGGTTCTTATTACTATCTAAAAATTCCAAAGATTTAAGCCTTACCTACGATCTGGTCCCAAACTATCTTCTTAAAGAGTTAAACCAGTTAATCTTCTACTTTTTAACAAACCTATCTCACATTTGTTAAGCATCTGTAAGGTAGTTAAAAGCTTGTAAAGTCAAACTAGACCCTTCCCTACTACTCACCTGCATGCTTATTCCCGTTCCCTCCACTGGTAAATTCTCCTTCGTATGTCGGTCTACCCCTTCCTCCTTCTAAATCCCATCTGTCACCACAAACTTCAACCTAAACATTAACTTCTCAAGGGATCACACCAAGATTACAGCAGGACTTTAAGTAATGACGTACGCCAGGTCCTTGAGTAAGTCACCGCCTTCAATGCTATTAGACTTAGTATGCTTCAAGTTGTAGTTTCCAAGATCCTGCCCACAATGTTATGTGAAAACCTACTGTATTTTGTTTCTTCCGGAATCATAGTTTAATATCACACTCCAAAAGTCAAATCCGTAAATAGAGTTAATCTCTCCCCCCTTTTTTTTATGAGACAGAGTCTTACTGTGTTGTCCAGGCTAAAGTTCCAAGGTCTCAGCCTAGCTCAAAACAATCTCAAACTCCCAGGTTCAGGTGATCCTCCTATCTCAGCTTCCCAAGTAGCTAGGACTAGCGACTACAAAGTAGCCACCAAAACGCTTGGCTCATTTTTATTTTTTTATTTTGTTATTTTTAGTAGAGATGAGGTCTTGTTCTTGCTAAGGCTAGTTTCAAATTCCTGATCCTCTTCGTTGGCCTCCCAGAGTGCTAGGATTCAGGTGTTAGCCATTTTGCCTGGTCTAGAGTTTATTTTTGCTTTTTATTTATCACCACCTAACCTCCATATAGCCACCTCGTCAAGTTATCTGCTAAATCTTATTTTTTAAATAACTAATATGAGAAATCTTTTTCTTTTCTTTCTTCTTTTTGAGACAGCCTCACTTTGTTGCCCTTGGTAGAGTGCAGTGGCATTACAGCTCACAGCAACCTCAAATTCTTGGGCTTAAGCAATTCTTTTGCCTCGGTCTCCCAAGTAGCTGGGACTATAGGTGTCCACCACAACACCTGGCTATTTTTTTGAGATGAAGTCTCGCTTTGTCTCAGTCTGGTCTCAAACTCCTGAGCTCTGGCAATCCCACCTGCCTCAGCCTCCCAGAGTGCTAGGATTATAAACAGTGAACCACTGTGACTAGCTAATATGAGAAATCTTTAATTTTACTTCTAAATCACTAATGTCTAAGTCCTACAGAATAAATTTTAGCCACTGGAAGAAAGAAGGCAGCAGATTAAGGTCCATCTTTTAATAAAAGTTTGTGTAGAGATGAAACTAAGTATCCCCAACTTTTATGCAGTAGCTAATCCTCAGAACTTGCTAAGTAATCCAACAACACAATTTTCTGATACAATTTTGTTCCTTCCTGATTCAAAAAAGGGGCAGGACCAGGATAAGTGACAAGGTTCTCAGTTCTCTTCTCTATTGCAGCTGTGATGATACACAAAATTCTATCTTTGCATTACAGCAGTGAACGGCGAACTATGATTTATATTTAAACAGGACAGCTGAGTGAGCTTTTAATAAATCATTAAGCATTAAAATTAAAAAGATAACGTGAAAACATCATGAAACAACGTTTAGTGTACCACTGCTACTTTGCAGGAGAACACAGGGAGAAGACATTTGCATGCTTGTGGAACTACTGTAACTTAACTCCCATCAACTTGTTCAAGACACAACAAAAATAATGAATTATGTTTTCTTTAAAAGACTCTATATATTAATAGAATGCCAGAAGTATTATAAATTATATCCTATACAAATAAAAAGGAAGAAAGCAGTAGTTATACCCCAAGTCATCTTCTATAGTGAGAAGTGGCATAACCTTAAAAATTTCCAGCAAATAAGAGGGCAAATTTACCTTTATTAAGGAAGAAATGAAGAGTTTTGCACAAAAAATAAGTGCTTGGAAACACATGTGAATTGAACTGCTTCTCTTTAGTAACAAAACAACTAGTCATTAGCAGGTAATGTATCAAATACAGAAGGAAAGCCAAAGAGAAAAATGGTGGAAGAACTCCGTGTGCACACCATGTGCATGCAAACGTGTACCATACGCAGGCTGCTGGATACTAAACACGGAGCAGAGATCGCCTCAAGAGGAGAATAAAAATTAGAGAGCAGCCTTCACTAAGTGTTGCACAGTCTTCCATACGAAGCTGCTGGAATGATGGCATGCTCCACTGGATGACAGCCCATTGTGGCAGCTGGATGTATTAACACCTCCCACAGAGCACAGGGTTTAGTTGGGAGACCTGGAATTTTAACCCAGAGGGTTCACCTCAGAATGGCCTTCACTATTGTGTTCTGACTACTCCAATCACTGTACTCACAGAGAATGAAGCTGTATGTCTTAAGAGAAGACATTTTATTACACGGGGTGTTCACAGAGTCACCATACATACAGAAATGGGAAATTATAGCTGAAAGTACCTCTACTAACAAAATATTAATTACAAAATTTTAAAAAATATTTACATGTTTTGGCCACTTCTTTGTAAAATACAAGGTCATGAAATTATATTTTACAATGCTGAATTCAAGTGATTGTCTGAAATCTTATAACTTCTCACTTTGTATGTGTTTGTTTCATACTTTAAAATAATTTAAAAACAACTGATGTATTTTACATGTAGTGGAATCCCAAGATCAATCAGCTTTGATGAAATATACATCCAGGCACAGAACACTTCTACCAACCCAGAATATCTCCTTGTGTCTAAGCCTAACCCCAATTTGATTTCTGTAACATCACAATTCAATCTGCCTGTTCTAGAGTTCCACAATGCAATCATATAACTTTTTTTTGTGTTTAGTTTCCTTCCCTGCGTGTAACATTTATGAAACTCCTCCATATTGCTACATGTGTCAGTAGTTCATTTGTAGTAATAGCTCAGTAGAATATGGCTTGTTTATTCATCCTTCTGCTATTGATAGTATCCCATTTTGGAACACATAAACAAAACCACTAAGAAAATTCTCTTCAAAGAGAATTTTTTGTGTATATAAAGTTTTTGTTTATCTTAAATAACTTGTGAGTAGAGTTGCTGGGTCATAGGGTAGATGATTATTTCCCTGGTTTTTGCATGAAAACTTATGTAAAGATTAAAACATTATGAATAATACCATTTCTTTTAACATAAACATCTGGACAACCTGCTCAGTGGTAAAAACCTGCAGCTCCAGAAGCATTTTGCGCTGTTCCTCATTCAACATGGATGGTTTTCTTCTGCCAGAATACAGAATTTTCTAAGCATTCTCAAACATAATAATCTTACTTTCATAAATTCATGATGCTTATTTTGGGTGACACTGATTATACATAGCCATGTGCTATCTTGTCTTTTTTGTTTAATGTTGTTTATAAAAAATTTCTCATATGTATCCAATTGGTCAACTCACTTTCTTTGCAACTCCCAACACTTTACAAAAATGAACTTGCTCAATACATTTAAAAAATGGTTCTTACTTTTCTGTAAATTTTAAATACTGAGTAAAAAAGGTTTTCCAAACACATATACATACAAATACATGACTAATTTACTTGGGAAACAAAAGTTGAATGATAAATCATTAGAGAGAAAAACTGACTAAATTTTATAAAAATTTTAATACCAATCAGTGCTGTCATCTTCCCTGCCAGTTTTGGCAGACATAAATCTGATAAAGAACTTAACTGATTTAAATTT